TCAAGAGAATGTTTAATAAAAGGAAGGATTTGGCAGAATTGAACCATTTATAATCCCCAGAATTATTTAGAAGAGAAAGTGAAATATTTGGGAATTGTTAGGGTAAAATCTAGGGTCTGCAGACAGTGCTTTTTGACCGAAGCAAGCTATTGGAAGGCATTTGTTCGTACAGAAATACTTTAAGAGTGTTCAATTTTCTTTCTAAAGATGAAGAGGACACACAAAGAGCTGTCTAAGGCAGTAAGCAGGAATGCCAGGGCTTCCTGGGTGCCTTTAGCCACCTGTGATGGCCCTGACAGGGGCGTCTTCCAGGTCAACTGGAGCTACAGACAATCAGATGGCATCGAGCTCCACCTACTGCAGTACTGTTGTAGTTCATTTTGCCTAGTGCTGCTGGATGTGATCCTTAGAAAAATGACTGTAATCATTGTTGTGGAAAACTTTTGGGTCATTTCTTCATGTAATCTGACTTTAAATTGATGTTTCATATATATTACTTTATGATTTTTTTTTGTTTTTTAAAATTGTTTCTTACATATGGAGTTGTATGAGATTTTGTTACTTCACTATAATGAAAGCAGAAATGATCACTAAAACAGGCCTTTTGATGGCTTAAAAGCAAATTAGATGAACTATGATGGAAGTCTTCATAAGTTGGAACCGCTAAAAAAAACCCCAACACTCAGACTCCAAAGATTGTTCAGATGGTTATAATATATGGAGTTTAACAAATTAGACATACAAATATTGTTTTCGCTTAGTTTTTTATATCTGCACTGTAAATTAGTGTTCTACTTTTCTATAATTATGTAGTGTTACCATTTTAAGCTCATATTGCACCTTTTCAATACATGACACTGTAATGAAAGATAATGTAGAAAAGGAAGCTATTCCCTTCTGTTTTCTGTGATAAGGCTGATTGAATCACATTATCAGTGCCTGAGTGGGGGGGGGTCACCCTTGGTTCTCCGAGGCAACCACTCCATGTATGGGAACCCCGCTTCCTGAGAAGGCCCCACAGCGCCTCTTCGTGGGAAGTAGAGAATAAATCTGTTTTGTTTTTGCTTCTGCGTGTGGACCTTTGCTTCGCTTTGATTATATTAAAACTGCTTTTGTTTTACTCACAAGGGTTGGTCTATCTTATTTTCTTTCCCCTCTTTGCCCTGTTGAGGAAACAAGGGGAAAGGTGGGGGAAGTGATAGAGTGACTTGGTGGATACCTGGCATTTAGCCAAGGTCAAGCCACCACAAAGGTGGGAAAGGGGATAGAAACTGCAAACAGCGCAGTGACTGTCATCTAAGCATAGGTGCCTGTGTAAAAACGGCAAGTTGTGGTCATCCTCAGCCAGTGGTGGCTAGGAGTCCAGAGCTCTGAGCTGCAAGCTCAGAGGGGAAGTGTCCATGCCATTCCAGGAGCAGGTCAAGCCTTTGCTTGGAAAAAGGGCATGCTAAACCTCTGCACTGCATTTCCCATAGTTTAAGAAAAAGGCTCCCATGCATCTGTCTCACTGTGCTGTGCTAGTTAAATAAAGCTAAATGTCAAACTGCTGGCACTTTAACTGGCTGCTTTTTATGTTTTAAATTAGAAATTGGATGAATCTTTAAAATGGTTTAAGTTTCCTGAAGGCAGATCTCTAAACAAGTCACTCTGCATGCAGAAAGCCCAGCCTCTACTAATGCATTCTTTATGCCTGCAACAGCAGTTAGACTGACTGTTACCCAAAGAGCAGGGCCGTGTAGCTGATTTAATACAAAACTGTTTAAATTTTGTGATTGAAATGGCAGCTGCTACTGGAACATTTTAAATGGCAAGAAATGTGTTGGTTTTAGAGTTTTGGTTATGACCTTGTCTGTCATTACCTGTGAATCTATACAATCCTATTCTAACATATGCAGATAAAGAAGATGTTAGTGTATAGAGATTATGATAAATTGGCATTCCTTAATTCATATGGTTTACTGGAAGATACAGTGGAGTCTGTAAAAGCAGGGAGAA